TGGTGACGGGGGAGGAAGGTGAGGGGGGGAGGGAGGTGAGGGGGGAGGAAGGGGGAAAGTGATGTTTCGAGTGCAAGCAGATGGGGAATCGAAAAGCAACGGAGTGCGTGTTAATAAAGGCCTCTGCGGAATCAAATCCTCCAACAAAACAGTAAACAGTTTAAAGTTGATGTAAAACACAACAAGAACAGGATCGAGCTGAGACTGCGAACGTCGCGTTCACCGTACTCAACTTGTGAGTCAGACGCGACGAGGAATATAACGCGACTTTCATGTGAAAGCGTTCGCGTGTCGGGAATAAGCATGTTCGGTGTTAGCATACATGGAATATATATAGCGCCTCGACTGCCTTTCTGGTGTGTACCCCACGGTATAGATTCCACCTTGTTATTATTGTCAAATGGTCCATATTGTAATCAACGCCCTGTGGAAACGGGTAGATTGCCCGGAGCATGTGTGGAATCCGGCTACGGAACTCAGTCTCTTACTGTTAGGCGCGCGGGGGAACTGATAGGCAGTAGGTACCAGCGCAGGATGTACAAAGATTGGAGAGGGCGTTGTTAGACCCTCGGTTAGCGGGTGCAAGAGTGGATGACTGGAGGACTAGCTGGCGGGTATGGAGAGCCTGGCGCACAGGCAGATTTTGACCCCTCCAGGCTTGGAACGAATAATGAACATTGGATTCTGCACTGCGTGCACTACGGCCTATACCGTCTCCGCTACAGGCGCCCCGGCTTCTCCTGCTGTTGCGGCAGCTTTTCGCGCCCAGCGACGTTCGGTATTTATCCTGTTCTTCTCGACTTTGGCGGTTATTCGTCGTGCTTGTTTGAATGCTAGCCTGCGCTCGTTTAGGATCGCTTTTATACGGGCTAGGGATTTGCGGCACTGAGGACGATGTCAGGTATGCTCTGGGTGAGGACAGATACAAAAACAAGAAAATGAGACATCGTGAAGAAAGAGTCCAGACGATTGACGCAACTCAAGGGAGTGGAAGGAGAAAGACGAGAAAGGGACCACTCACGCGGTTGTTCAGCTTATCGATATTGGCAAAATGTTCCGGCTTTCCGCCCACTTTCTTCCACTCTTCTAGCTGAGTGTGGAGGACGTTCCGTTCCCGTATGAGGATGTACCACAGGGTATGCAGGTCGAGGAAGGACTTGCGTCTCAGTTCCGGGGCCGACCAGCTCCTGCCTACAAAAGGCACGTTGGTCAATACGCCAGATGTATGGAAAGGGACGTACCAGAGAATTCGGTCCTCTTATCCCTCATCTCGAGCGTGACGACTTTGTCATCCTTATCCCTATGGAAGAAGCCGAACAAGCCATGATTCGGGCTGGTGACGACGCCCAGGTGGGGACGGAGTGTGCCGTCCGGGTTTGGGGGTGGGACTTTAGGCGGTGGGGGAGGGTTCGTATATGCTGAAGGGCGTGGGACAGCGTATGACCTGATGAAGGTAATGGGGAGAGCACGGGAAGTGGATGGGGAAGGGAGGAAGGAAGGGAGACGGCGTAGGAATGACATTGTGTGTTCTTGCTCGTGCTCGTTTGACCAAACGTGAACGAAGAATGTCGATCAGGGACTAGGGTTACGTAATCACGGAAACAGAATTGTTGTGCCAAAAGGTGAACTTCTCTTCCAGGCTCGAGTCAGGCTTACACTGACATCGAACGACAGTACTTATCAGCCTAGCACGGTCTCGCTGGAGACCGTTGAACAACGACGATACTGCTGCGAGGCATTCTTCGCTCTACACGATCTTGCCTTCGATTTCCATCTGCACAGTTTGTACCCGACACCAAGAGATACGCGCATATAGGCAACACTAGCAGGATGGCGGCTTCTAATGGGCCTATCGAGCTTGCAAAGGTTTGTCTCACAGACGTCCGATCGCATTCGCTCATTCCACTCCAAGACAGGAAAACGTGACTACCTCGTCGCTCTCGAGAAGAAGTATCAGGCACAATGGGCGGACCAGAAGCTGTTTGAGGCTCACCCTCCTGCACCTGGTGAGTCTGAGCAGGAGAAATGGATGGGCACATTCCCCTTTGCGTACATGAACGGGTCGTACCATCTTGGGCACGCGTTTACCATCAGCAAGATCGAGTTCGATGCTGGGTTCCAGAGGATGCTCGGGAAGAGAGTGCTTTTCCCAATGGGATTCCATTGTACGGGCATGCCGATCAAGGTGCGTCTTCTGCTCATATGCGGCCATATGCTCATACGAGTCGGCGTAGGCAGCAGCAGACAAGCTTATCAGGGAGATGGAGCTCTTCGGTGCCGACTTTGAGCACTTCGCCCCTGAAACAGAGGACGGGGAGGCCATTCACCCGCCCGTTGAGCCCAACCCGCCTGCCTCGATCGACAAAGCCAAGAAGGGCAAGGTCGCTGCCAAAGCTACGGGGCTGACGTACCAGTTCCAGATTATGGAGAGTATCGGTGTGCCTAGGGAGGAGATCAAGCGGTTTGCGGACCCGTATCATTGGCTGGGGTACTTCCCGCCTATTGCCATCGTGCGTCTTCTTCCTTCGATGAGGAATAGTGCTCATCAAGTGGAATAGGAGGACGCGAAGAGCTTTGGAGCAAGGATCGACTACCGCCGGTCGTTTATCACCACCGACGTGAACCCGTACTTTGACAGCTTCGTCCGATGGCAAATGAACAAGCTGCACGGGATGCAGAAAGTGCAGTTTGGCGAGCGGTACACCATCTACAGTCCCAAAGACGGACAACCATGTATGGACCACGACCGTGCGAGCGGAGAAGCCCTCGGACCGCAGGAGTATACCGCACTGCGCATGCAGGTCGTTTCCCTCCCTCCCGCCGCGCAAGTCCTGCATGACAAGGCGGGGGGGAGGACGATCTACCTCGTCGCTGCTACCCTGAGGCCGGAGACGATGTACGGCCAGACGAACTGTTTCGTGGGCACGGCGATCAAGTACGGGCTCTTTGTCGCCAACGACAAGGAGGCATATGTATGCACCTATCGCGCAGCAAGGAACATGGCTTTCCAAGGCTGTACCCTCCCGCGCGGTGAGGTAACCCAGCTCGCAGAGGTGGACGGTGCTGTCCTCGTCGGAGCGCGGATCAAAGCTCCCTTCGGGATCAACCCCGAGGTCTACGTCCTGCCCATGGAGAACGTCCTCGCTACCAAAGGCACGGGTGTGGTCACTTCCGTTCCCTCTGACTCGCCAGACGACTACCAGACGCTTATGGACCTCCGGAAGAAGGCCGAGTTTTATAAGATCGACCCTTCTTGGGCCGCACTCGAGCCTATCCCCGTTATCAACACTCCGACATATGGCGACCTCACCGCGCCCACGCTGTGCAAGCAGCTGAAGATCCAAAGCCAGAAGGACGTCAAGCAACTCGCGGAGGCTAAGGAGCTCGCATACAAGGAGGGATTCTATAGCGGTACGATGCTCGTTGGCGAGTTCAAGGGCGAGCCCGTGCAAGAGGCAAAGGGCAAGGTCAGGGAAAAGATGATCGAGGCTAGCCTAGCCTTTGCATATGCTGAGCCGGAGGGCCTTATCATCAGCCGTAGCGCGGACGAGTGTGTTGTCGCCCTCGTCGATCAGTGGTATATCGACTACGGCGAGCCGGTGTGGAAGGAGCAGGCGGAGAAGTGAGCTTCCCTCTTCGACTCGCGCTGCGGATCTGACGGTCTCTAGGCTCCTCGGGAAGATGAACACCTACTTTGACGAGACGAGGCACGCGTTCCAGGGCACGCTCAGCTGGCTGAACAAGTGGGCTTGTGCGCGTACTTACGGCCTGGGGTCGAAGCTTCCCTGGGATCAGAAATGGCTAGTTGAGTCCCTCAGCGATTCGACGATCTATATGGCGTACTATACCGTGGCGTACCTTCTCCAGGGTGGGTGCGCTAGCGCTCATCGTAAGATCAAAGCTGACTTCGTTGACAGGCGGTGTGATTGACGGTCACAAGGTCGGCCCGCTCGGCGTAAAAGCAGAGCAGATGACCGACGAGGTCTGGGAGCACATCCTCTGCGACGGACCATATCCCGAGCAATGTCCGATCAGCAAAGAGCAGATAACAACTATGAAGCGCGAGTTCAACTACTGGTACCCGATGGACATCCGGTCCTCTGGCAAGGACCTGATCAACAATCATCTTACGTTCTGCATCTACAACCACGCGGCTATCTTCCCTGAGGAGAAGTGGCCTCTCAGCATGCGTGCGAATGGCCATCTGATGCTTAACGGAAAGAAGATGTCCAAAAGCACCGGAAACAGTCTCACGATGCGGGACAGTATCCAGAAGTTCGGTGCGGACGCTACACGTGTGGCGCTCGCAGATGCCGGTGACGGTATCGAGGACGCAAACTTCGAGGAGACCACCGCGAACGCTGCTATCCTCCGTCTGCATACCCTCATGACTTGGTGTGAGGAGATGGTGGAAACCAAGAGCACACTCCGGACTGGCCCGAAGACGTTCCACGACGACGTCTTTGAGAACGAGATCAATAACCTTATTGAGATCACTAAGAAGAACTACGACGCGTGAGTCTTGCTCTTCAGTCTTACGTGGCGGAGTCTGATAGCCTTCTAGCACGAGCTTCAAGGACGCGCTCAAGTATGGGTTCTATGAGCTGCAATCTGCTCGTGACGCTTACCGTGAGATGACGGCGGATGCGAATATGCACGCAGACCTCGTCGAATACTTCATACGCATCTCTGCCCTCCTAGTCTGCCCTATCGCTCCGCACTTCTCTGAACATCTGTGGACGATCGTGCTCAAGGAGCCCAAGTCAGTCCAAGTCGCCCTCTATCCTGCACCGTCTAAGCCCGTCCACCACACTCTCCTTGACGCTGCCGCCTACTTCCGTGATACAGTCAAAGCCATTCGTGATGCTGAGATGTCCCTTGGAAAGCGGAAGGGTAAGAGCACTGCCCCAGTGGTAGATCCATCCAAGCCCAAGGCCCTGCGCATCTTTGTGGCCAGCGCGTTCCCACAATGGCAGGACGCATGCGTGAAGGCGGTCAAGGACTCGTTTGACGGGACGACTGGTACAGTCGATGACGCCAAGGTACGACAACTGCTTGGTGCTGCTGGCCTGATGAAGGAGAAGCGGGCGATGCCGTTTGTGCAAGCATTCAAGGCAAGCTGCAGTCTTTCGAAGCAGAGCAGATGACTGACACATTCAGCAGAAGCGGATAGGGCAATTCGGTGCCAAGACGGCTTTCAATCGAACTCTGCCATTCCATGAGATGGATGTTCTCCAGGCCAATCTCCCCTACCTGCAGCGGACATTCAACTGCGAGAAAGTCGACATCGAACTAGCAGATGAGGCCCGTGCGAAGGCCGGCCAGCCGACATATTCCGCGGCTGTGATCGATACCGCCGAGCCCGGCTCACCGAGCTTCACCTTTTATAACATCTGATTTTCTTTGTGCTGTGTAGCAATTACTAGAATCTAATGCAATTACTTCAGGATCCGCTGTTGCTGTTCGCTCCTCCCCAGACGATAGCTTCCGCTCTGAAAGCTCTGGTATCGGTAAATATAAGGCATACCTATTCAATCACAGTTGTCAAGCAGCTACATTGAAGAAAGCAAGACCAGGATATGACCTCTAAGATAGCCACCCGGCCGCATCGATGGCATATCCCGCACAAATACCACGATTCCCGCCTCCGGACAGACGTCGTGTCTTTTCAATATTTCCTAGAGGTTCGTATGTCTTCCTCGAAGTGTACCGCACAAGTTTCCCTTTCTAACGACCTCCGCCAACATCCCCCTGCAGAGGAATATGGGCTGCGCTCGACCATATGCATGAGACTCCCTCAACCTGTGTTGGCCGATACTGACCCTGCATCCGCAATCGGACGCCTCGAGCTGGTTCCCAAAGGAGTGATCAATAACCGGAGTTCAGTAATCGCGTCGGAATACAGAACTTGTCTCTCCTTTCTCGAAGTGGTGAAACCACGTGACCTCCGGTCGTCGCCGCATCCGCTAACATCCAACACCAGCCATGCAACATACCTTCCCCGACCATCCCCACCCGCTCCACTGTACGCGTAAAAGTGAGGTGCTCGGCTCGAGTCCAGGCGGAGTACACCGGCGCTCTGGTCCGTCTGCGACGGGAGCGTGATGAACATGTTTCACCTCGGTGTTTGTTCTTTCTCAGGCGGCTATTCAAACCGGACACTAGTGGCACCTATAAATTGCTCAATTGAATAGCAGAAACCGCGGCAAGACAAACAACCATAACTAGCTAAAAGAACAATCCATCAACAAACATCAACAATGTTTCCAGCACCATTCATGACTCGGACGATGGCCCGTCAGATACCTCTGATGGGCCGGAAAGGCATGGCCGTCGTCGCCCACCAACCACACGGCGTTTAGGAAAGAAGAGGATCATTTCGTGCATCATGTCAGTACGGGGGCGAAAGACTTCAAGTACTGAAGCGAGCAAGCAAACCAAGCATTTGGACCAATGCATTCTTTCTCTCTCGTGACTTGGGTCTTGAATGTTGTTGTTTACTGAATCAGGCGTGTTGTATCAGTATAATGCAAAATCAAAATTGTATGATATTTACGAAATGGTACAAAAAGCTGTATTCAGCCTCAGCGTGCCAAACCGCCAGATCGACAAAGTCCACCCCAATCACAACCCTTCCCCTCAAAGATCCGCCATCAGCCCCTCTACCTCCAGCTCGTCCCTGACCATCGACAGCTCCCCCACATGTTCCGGTCTCGTGCGAACAATAAATTTCTGGACAACGGCCTCCAGCGCTCGCACACGCCGTGCAATAGCTTGGAAAGCAGGCTCTTCTTCCAGTGCTGAGCCAAAACGTTGGCCAAGCATGCTGGCTGTCAACACTGCCGAAGCGCGGGAAAGAGGACGCGAGAGCGATGCTTCGCCAGCGTCGGTGTCCGTCTCGGTATGGAGCGAGGGCTGGGAGAGGTCGTACAAGTCCAAGAGGCCGGAGACGCTCGCCCCGCCGGTGGAGATCGCACTCCTCCCTAGACGCTGGACGACAGGAGTCAACGACTGGGACTTGTCCGCGTCCATATCCATGTCCACGCCTGCTGTTGTGTCTTCTTGTTCCGTTTTCGCGCGGGTAGAGGATGCACGGGTAACGAAGCTCGCTTCCTCTAGCGTCGGTAGGCCCCTTTGTGCGGGCCCGTTTAGCCCCATCTTGTTCAAGGCCGCTACCGTCTCTTCTCCCAAAAGCCTGCTCTGCCTCCTACTCGCCGGGCCCGCACACACCGGAGGAACATCAGCGATATCCGCCCATCTGGGCCCGACGAACCTCTCCAGTGCCTCTTCGAGCTTCTTCTGTCTTTCCCGGAGGAACCGGATCTGTTCTTCGGCATGGACGTTCTCCCTCTGCGTACCTTCCAGTATACTCTCGAGGGAAGAGTAGTCCTTTTGCAGCGTCTCGTGTGCTGCTTGTGTTGGACGCAGAGAGAGCAAGCTAAGCTGAGCACGGAGCTTCGAGTTCTCTGATTCTAGCGTGCGGAGTTTCGCCAGCTGCGGCTCCAGGGACTGCAATTTCGAATTCTCTGTTTCAAGAGCACGCAGCTTTGTGAGCTGGGACTCGAGTGCTTTGAGCTTGGTGTTCTCCTCTTCTAGCAGTTTGAGCCGCGTGTTCTCCGCCTCCAGCTCCTTGGCACGAGCATACCAGTCCTCCTCCCCCGGCAACAGTTCTTCCGGTAACGTCGTCCGCAGTAGATTAGTAGACTCGGTAAGCTTGGTACGCTTCGAGCTGGCTAGAGAACCCGGTGTGCTAGGCGTGTTGGAGCGCGGTCGGGCAGGAGGGGCAGGAGTGCGGATATGGGATAAAGACTGGGAACGTTTTGCGTGAGAGAGGCGCGCTGGGGTCGGAGTGGAAGAATTGGAGTTGTTGGACGTGGTCGAGGTTGTTGACGTTGAGGTTGGGATTAGCGAGGTGAGGGAGGTGAGTGTTGAGCTTGTCGTTGTGGGTTTGGCGGGCTTGGCTTGCGTTTGGGAACGACGTTTCATTTTGAATGAGGTAGTGGTAGTAGTGGTGGTGATAGCGGTGGCAGTGGGAGGTAGTCAGTGTAGGGGGTAATGATAGAAATGGGGTATCGCGGTGGTGAAAGAGGTCGAGGAGGAGAAGGATAGGCGCGCGTATTGGACGCGTATCACGGCACGTGGTCTGCTTCTTATTCAGGGAAACAACAAACAAATACAATAACAACCCTTGTTCATGTGTATCTTTATTGCAACTTTTGTTTATATTTTAACTTAGATGCAGGATTGGCTCTTTGTACAAGACGATGCATTGCGTAGGATCACAGAAGCTTGGGCAACAAGTTCTTTTGCCCTCTTTCTTCTCCATATAAACATTACATTCCCCGTATGACAATCACCGGTTCCTCATCGCCCACACCGAAAGGGAGACCATACCCATACCCAACACTCCTACCGCCGTGCTAGCCAAAGCGAGCACAACCTGGTCATCTTCCATCCCCCGGCTCCTAATAGCGCTCCATGTTCTGACGATCGTCGATTTCCAGTCTCGTTCTATCCATGGCGCTCTCTCCCGGGGTTCATGGGGTTCTTCTAGTGTGATGTCGGTTTGGACACTTGCTGTCCTGGTCTGCACCAGCACTGGAGGCACGCCAGCGCGAGGTACCTCCAACCCGCGTTCATCCCTCTCCAGCCTCTTGCCCACTTTTCCCACCTCCTCTCTCACCACCCCTTCCACCTCTCTCGTCATCTCCCCCACCCGCAGCTCGAACACCTCCGCCAGCCTCTTCCGTTTCCACGGTTCAACCACAACGACCGCCATCATAAACACAACCATATTGAGCCCCAGAGCAACGAGAGAGCCATACGTGCTCGCACTACGGATCTTGTCGCTCCACACTTGCTCCTCATGATACCTATGCAGAATAGTCTGCATGAGCACTCCCTGGCCCCTCTCGACCTCCTCTTCAGCCTTCTGCACTCCTTCCTGCGCCACTTGCTCCGTCTGCTCGTTCGCATGGTCCTGCCTTACGAGCTCGGTGAACCTTGACACGTCAGATTCGGTCCACATGGATTTCCGTTGCAGGAGATCGTTGACTTGTCTTTGGCAGGCGCTGCGGGCGGAGACTGCAAGTTCATACTCGCGTTTCGCGTTCCTTGCATCCTGGTGCAGGAGGTGCATCCCTTCCTCTGCCAAAGGGCGATATCTCAGTTTATGCAACAGAGAAGGGAAAGTGTGGGAGACGCACCCCGTTCCCGGACTTGCTTCTTGAGCCCCTCGATCTCCGCATACCCTGTAAACTGGTTCAGCCGCTCGCCGAACGTGGACAGGCGGGCGGAGGCGTCTTGAAATAGGGTGTTGAGGCGACGGTGGATTTGGATGGATGGGGAGGGGGGTGTGGGTGGGGGGGATGTCGGGGTTGCAGGGGTTGTCAGAGGGGATGAGGAGGGAGAGGGGGAGGGAGATGAAGGAGGGGGTAGGAGAATAGAAGCGGTGGTTGATGTAGGAGTGGTTGTCGAGGTTGAGGGGGAGGTCGAGGAGGATGAGGCTGACGATGAGGCGCTCGACAGGGTAGTTGCCTGTCGAGGTGAAGCCGAGTCTGTATACCGCCTTGTAAGTTGCAATCTCCCTTCTAATCTCGCCTCTAATAATATTCCCCTTCCTAGACAGTATCGAACTGTCCTCATCCTCTCCATCAATTCAAGGCAACCCGACATAAGAGAGCTCAAGTGCCTAAGTACTGTAAAGTCAATCACAGAGAATTGCAAGCAATACTACTAGTAGCCAGTCAATGACAGTGAGGAATCCTCGGCATCCGCGCCATACCAAACCCCGGACTAGTGGCTGTGTTTTATATAAGCACTGCTAACGGGCGCTTATTGTAACATGTAACAGGAGAGCGAGAACAGGAGAGGTAAGAGTATGCACTGCTGCACCGCTCACAATGTCGCACGACTGCACAGTTCACCCACCATCTATCTACACTCTACACTCTTCCCATAAACGTTTCCTCACCTTTTACTCTCTACGGCCACGCGGGCGTGTGCATCACTACTTTGAACTTTTACTCTACTTTAAATTAATCAATCTCACGAATGGTACCTCCAACTCCAAGTCCGCGACAAGATGTCTTCACTCCCAGGTACATATTTCCCTCCCCTATACTCCAACCCTGCTAACCTTTGCATGACAGCATGATAGAAACCTCGCTCAACCTCCGCCGAACAGCGTTCATATTCCTCAACCTCCAATCCTGCTACCTCGAGCTCCTACCGAGGGAGACAGCGCACCAGCTCCTAATGAGCATATTCATGCTCCGCGACTCGCTAGACCTCCGACGTTCCCGCCCAGTAGTAGTGCACATCGTCTCCCTCTCCCCGACCTTCTCTCCCCATTTCCCAAGTTCCTGCTCGCCGAGGGAAGGCGAACCAGTACTGGCCAAGCCTGGCCTGAGCGCGTTCTTCCACACCGGGCTCGAACGGCATCTCCGGGAAAGGAGAGTAGAGCGAGTCTACCTCTGCGGCGTCAGTTCCGGAGCGGAGATGGTCGCTACTGCCCTGGCGGCGCGGGACGTCGTTGGGGAGAAAGTGTGGGTTGTGGAGGATTGTTGGGAGGAGGACGACCCTGAGCACGGGGATGCGAGTTTGGACCTGCTGGCCGGGTTGGATATGCTCGTCGATGTACAGATGATCGAGGGGTTGCGGGAGGAGCGGCTGGACGAGGTTCCGAGGGAGAAGGAGTCGGGCGTGAAGCGCGAGTTGGAGAGGAGGGAGAAGAAGCGCGAGGAGAGGGAGAGGAAGGAGAGGCTCAACGAAGGGGACTCGCTGGCGAGGAGACCGGCAATGAGCAAGTCACCTCGGGAGGCGGGGTTTGGGGACGTGCTCAAGAACGCTGAGAGACCGGCGATGATCAAGTTACCTCGAGAGGCGGGGTTTGGGGACGTGCTCAAGAACGCTGAGAAGACGAGTAATGGGGCGCGGCTGGTGCCCAAGCGGAACATGGCGAGCTTGAGGCCGTGGTCGTGAGCAGGGGATGGTGCTGGGTTTTCTTATTGCTCGTCAGTTAGCTACGCCAGTTAGTCAAGTTATACACGCGTTCCTTCCTACACACCTATTGTTTCCCATCCTCCTCTTCAGCCTTCTCCTCTCTAGCAGTCCACCAATCCCTCCTCCCCTCCTCGTTCCACCATCGCTCCACCTCCAGGCCCACCGCGACCCCCCTCACTCCCTGACCCTGCATGACCTCTACCCATCTCCTCCCCTGCCTCAGGAGGTGCTCAACAGCCGCGATGTCGCGCTTACTGTACTCTCTTGCGCGGGTACGAAAGGCATGCCTGTACAGCTTGCGAAAGGCTGCTTGGGCTGAGGGAGGCTTTTGACGGATTGACCGGAGGGCACTGGGGGGTTGAGCTTGGGTTGGGGGGGGGAAGGTGGGGGGGACGGACTTACGTTCGGTAGAGAGAGAGGACTTGTTTTTGTAATGGGGAGAAGACGACTGGCATGGTCGTCGTGAAAGAGCTCAGTGTTGAGGCTAAAGACATTTGGAGTTGTCATATCGGAGAAGCGGTTCGGTTCCGAAGATTCGGGGATAAAGAAAGCATGAAGACAAGGCGTGGATCTTTCTGTTCCTCTGTTCCTCTTGTGACTTGCCAGCTCACGGCTCAAGTTTGTTCCACCCCTGCCGCTTACGATTCTTGGTGTACGTGGACTAGACTTGACGTGTCTGATCGTTCTATGGTCTTCGGTCGGTGGATCAGCGGGGCTCTCAGTGGAATCGGCGTCACACTAGGCTTGTCACGGTTGCTTGGCTTATTTACTGCTGCTCATCTTGTTGCCCTCGCGTGCGTTTGATTACTGTTGACAAAGGACATGTATGTCCGAGAATTTTTCCTGTTGGCCCGCGCCTACAGCTTCTGGAAGATGAACGAACAAAAGTCTCTTGCTTGTCTTGCCGCGTCCTTGGGAGAAACCAACTTCTCTATATCAAAGCTTTCAAGTTGCTGACTGTCATGTTGCGAGGTCGTTGCTATCGTGTTATTATGCTTAAACAATACCAAAGCGTCGCGTGTCCTAGAGCTCTGCCTCATGGCACGCACCCTTCGGCGAGTTGAGTTACTTCACACCGGGAGCACCAAATTTCCGCTATCACTTGTACGGGGGTTGCTGCTGACTTCTGCCCTCATCTGTCGCTACATATTGTATGCATATGGGCACTGAAGTTGACTAAATAGTTGTGTCTCGGATAACTCTTCCAGATGGGCATCCTCCGGTAAAATGATCGACAAACGTCCTGAGCTCCGGGAACGAAACTCCCAATTTTTCAAGATTGCTATAATTATTGACCGCTATTCTAAGGGATCCTGGCTCCTGTCGTATGCCTGCCGACTGTGTGAGGTATTAGAGGGAAATAAATCTCGCGGTCGCCTACTTGCTGGGCCAGTCGCACCTCTTCAAGACAAGACTTCGCTAGCATTCTGAGGATGCACCCAACCCTCCGTTGTCTCCTATCCTCCACTTGTGGTACTACAGATCAACTATTATCATCGTCACCGCACGGACGGATCAAGGGACCGCTTTCTAGGTATTCAATATCCCTCCTTGGTTTCCTTCCTTGATCGAGTAACTGCCACAACCGGGCAGGATCACGTTAGGCGATGCTCTCCCCGGCCAGCGCAGCCCTCTTCGGGGACATTATCAATAACACCACCAGAAGGTTGTGGTAGCTCGGGGAATGCCATATTCACTGGTCTTTCGTGGAACTATCAGCGTGCCTCGCAGTCCATACCCGGGCGCGCTTAGATTAGATAAACTCTCAGGTCGGCAACTTCTCTCCGGTTCTTCGTCATCTGTGTCGCCTCATTCTTCTCATGGATTCTGAGTCTTTTTCATGCTGTGTTCGGCCTCCACGGACTAGATCCCGCTCTATACCCCATTCCCAACGAAGGGACAATAGTATCAACTGCGGCGCCTGAAACTCCAAGGTCATGCACTGCCCGCCCCAAATCCCAATATTTCTGAGGCATTTTGGCTGTTGTTCGCTGGACGAAACTCCACGGTTTCCCGCGTGGGAGGTAGGCGCCTCACCTCTGATAGGCCCAAAATATCGCGCAGAACTTGCCTTTTGCGGGCACGGGATTGCGGATAACCCTCCGTACCACACGACTTCAGTGGTTTAGCGGATAGCTACCTCAATGTCCCCTAATTACTGAGGAGAACCCACAGCGTATATACACCTCCCATGTAGTGGTCCACCCCTCTCAAGCCCACCCGTTGAAACCTGCCTACCACACAACAAACACTCAACTTTCAAATCAATACCAATGGCCGTGAGTTAATCCTAAGCAACCTGCAAGTTGCTCGCTCATATCTTCGGCCTATAGCCTACTCCCGTTGTTGAAGTCGATGCCCACTGTGGCGAGTCCAAGTGCAACTGCGGTGACTCCTGCGCCTGCGCTGTGCGTGTCTCTCAACAGTCGTCCTTCTACCAAACCTGACACGGAGTTCCTTAGCCCAACGAGTGCAAGTGCTAAATGCGCTGCCCTACGTCCTATGTCTTTGAGGAGAGGCAGATGATCTTCAATTCTGGCACGTGACGGAAAGCTGCACCGAGTACTGCGAAACGTGTATCTGGCCCTGTCTTCTTGTAATGTTGAATAAATTGGTTGATGTTGGAGTTCATTTGTGCTTGGGAGCTGAATTGAGTACTGGTTTGTGAAGAAACTTCACCAAGATGGTCGTGATTACGCAAGAAATATTGTTATAAGGGCGACGGGAGATTGAAGGTACATAAGCCGTTTAATATATACATACAAATGTATATTCTACATATCAGAAAGAACTCAGTGTAGCCTCTGAAGTTCCTCTAGCATTTGTACAATGTCATGGTATCGATTTCCCAGCTGTTCATATTTATTCTTCCCCTCCAAAATGCGCATGACCTCATCTGAGGAAGGGTCAAGGTACAGGAACTTCTCCACGAAGTCCCCATCGATAAAACCAACCGCATGAGTGTTCTGGGTGAGTATTGTAGGAAGACCTGGAGTTGATTGGGGTGCGCGTCGTCTGTAGAGGGCCAGTTTTAGTGAAGGTTATCGGACGATGCGTCACGAAACGTACCTGCTGTGTTCGACTTTGCCAGGGCCCTGGATCACCGACCCAATATTCCGCTGCAGGTTGGAAAGCTGCATCGACAGGTCCTCATCCAACGATGCGACAATGCCAATCCTTCCTGTATTCGTGCAGAACACAAGGTTGCCCCTCCCCGCATTGTTCCCGCCTGCTCCAGGAGCGGCAGCATTCAGACTCGCCCTCCTGAACCTATTGATCCCCTCTCCGAAATACCACATCCCATCCCTTTCCAGCTTTCCGTCTTTCCGCCATGTGACAATGTTGTTATTGAGCTCAGCCCCAATGACGCCTCCTTCATCGATTGATTCAAGCGTTTGAATCCAGAGGCTGGCATAATCATGATAGAGCGTCTCAAGTTTGGCACCGGTCCAACGGAGGATGCAAACTGCCCGCATTGCGTCACCAACCAGCAGCGTGTTGCCACGACAGATAAGGGAGGAGGCCACGTAAGCCGAGGACCACTTCGCAACAGACTCAATTCGAATATCATCGTGGCTTCGATGAAGTGAAAACACTTGTAACTGTGAAGATATTAGATGCTGCGAAGAACAGACCGAGTTTGACTTACCGTCCCGTTTATCGCGGCCGCAAGGTTGGCGCCCACGTTCGTGACAGCATACACGCATCCACCTACATCATGCGATACTACGAGCTTTAATTTCCGATTTGGAACCTCCTCAAATATGAGGATGCGTCCTTTTGATACGTCCTCTTCAGCCCCAGTGGCTTCATAAGTGCCAACAACGAGAAAGTCCGAGTCCTCTTCCCCAGTGGAGTCGGGTATTGTTGTTACGCACATCATTTGCTCGTCTGGACGTGCAGTGAAATTATTGAGATCTGGGGAAGAAATAAGGTCCCCCTCAGTCTGCACAGTAGTACAGTACTTACACTCGAATGTGATATCGTCGAATAACTTGAAGCTGGAACTGTAGATCTCTCGATCGTCCTCTCGATTGAGCTCTTTTCTTTGACAAACGACGCCGTAAGCCCGCAACCCTCTGTGGTACGTCAAGCGAATTGGGGTATCTAGACCAAGTGATATCTGAACAAACCATCAGAACAGCACGCAAAGACATCCTAATCACGCACAGTTCGAACATCTATTTTCTGAGATTCTCGTATCTGACCAATGAGCAAGGTTGAAGCAGACGCAAATATAAAGGATGAGGGGAATTGAGGGATATGTAATACCGAGCCGGCATGAATATCCTGTGACAATGTGAATGGGAGACATGTTCAGCGACAGAGGCGGCGCCTTACCCGCAGCTTGATGGGAGATGCCGTTAACCGGTCATTCTTTAAGAATAATAGCGCTGGTCGGTCACCACAAGCGAAAATATTTGACTCCCTCCCCAAGTCCGTGCAGGCATTCAGCATGATCGGCTTCGTGCCCAGGCTGAAGATCTTCTTATCTGTCGCACGTACGGAAGGCTCACCGAGGACGATCTCTGTCTTGAGAGCGTAACTAGAGATTGTACCATTCCCGAGGCCTACAAGAAGGTGAGGTCGATTACTGGTGCCGAAGGTTGTCAGAATGGTCGAGACGGGTAGGTGATCTTCTGGGGAGATTGGTTCTGCTAGCTTCAACTCCTCGAACCTGTGCGTCTCGTCGCCCAAATAGAATATCTTGACTTGATTCGTGCCCCAGAACCCGATGGCAGCATAGTTGCCCAACTCCGCGGAGAGTGTTGGATCCAAAGCAATACAAGATATTTCCGTCAATCCCCAGCTTCCCGGAGATTTCCAGTCACTACCAAGAATTCAAAAAAAATGAATAGGGAACTTAAAGAGCCACGATTTACTCACTTCGCAACGATGAACTGATCACGTTGGGGTATTAAGTGAACGAGGTAGCCGCCCTTCAAGCCTGCAACCACTCGCTGACCGTTGACAGCGGCACAGACAATCTCCACATGAGGTTTCCAGATGGACCTCTGCTCCCAAGTGATAAGGTCGATAGCGACAACGGATCCAGCAGTAACCTGGACAAAGATATCGTCCTCTCTGATGTTGCCAGCCGCTAAGGTAGGTACTTGTCGTACAATACCCCGTGCTTCGGACTCGTCGACTTCCTCGAACTGCGGAGAACTGTCGTCGCCCCTCATCGAGTAGAGCGTAGTTCGGTGTAAAGAACTTGTAACGAGATATAGATGATATCTGGTTCCACTGTGAGCTAGCAGTAGAACCGAAGGGCATAAGACTTACTCAGCGTCGAAGTTTATCTTCAAAGGGAATATCGATCTTGTATTCATCACCTGCTCAAGGAGTCCAAGCTCCTCGAAAGCCACTCCACTCCTTACAACTCTCAGACTGCCCGTGTTCATCCTGCCTGAGGCAGTCACAATCTGTTGTTGACCGATCTTTTCTGGGTCTGTCACGACGAAATCCGAGATCGGCGCGAGGTTGAGATGCGTGTCAAGGACGGCGATATTTCCGGTGCCACAAATGGCACTCGGGGTGAGACTGATGAGCTGTGAATCTCCGCATTTTGAGGTTACGAAGAAGTAGGATGATGTAAGATGGGTGATACTGCTCGGTGATGATATCTGCAGAAGACGGTTGAGAAGATTATGAGACACGAGCGGTAGTGTCTACCTCTCCTAACGCTTCTCGTTGTATGCTAACAACAGGTCCTTCCGATTGTCGCCTGTGCAGCGCAAGCAGATAGAGCTTGCCGTACTCGTCGCTCACCAACAGCTTCTCCTCGTCGATCGCGCATGTACTAGTCCCCAAGTAAGCACCCTGTGTCTCAGGATAACAACAGTAACTCACGCAGCAATCCTCCCCCAGGGTAGGCCAACCTTCGCCTCTTCTACTCTGGGAGGCTTCGACTTTCCCTTCTTCTCCTGTGTCGGGCTGCCCGCAGTACTGCTCCTTCTCTTTCCCTTCGGATCCGGCGCACCTTCTTCTTTAACCGCATACCATCTCGCCTGCCCTTCGCCAAATACCATTACGCCTGCTCGAGCTCCCGGTCGAGGAGGTGGGACGCCCACCACAGAAGTCGCCTCCCATTCATCGTCGAGGTTAATGTCGGGAATATGTGCGGTCGGCTCTGAGATATCAAGCGAGGCGAGGGACTTGGTGGATCCAGGTTCCGGTACGTGTTTTAGTGAACGTGTGACGAGGTGCCGCTTGCCATTCTGGTCTATGTGCAGAAGTGCAAGGGTAAATGGAGAGCTGGTTGATAGGGGAAGGAATGCGAAGGAGAGCAAGTTTTGTTCGCGTATCCTTTTCATACTGTTAGATCACTGCGGTCTGTTGCCAATAAAGACAGACTCACCGTACATCAATATCCTTTCCCTTGCCATCCTCCCCGAAAACCGTGACTTTCAAGCTGCCTGTATATGCAGAGGTGACAGCGACACGTCCAGATGGATGGACGATGGAGGTCTGGCAATACTCCGCAATCCGCCCTGCACGCGCCTTGAGCGATGCTGAGTGAACCACTTCAAATTGCGGGTTGGGTGTGGGGCTATATGCCAAAGAGAGCAGATACGGATCAGGATGATCAGTTGTAACCAGTATGTGGGACTGCTTATCCTACAAAGCCGGTTATGAACGTCATCGGGTTGAATAACCTGTCAAGGGACGTTGCTGACCTCTCGTTTGACCTCTGCAATGTTGGTGATCGTGCCCCAGATCTCGAGGTCGCACACGCGCTTGAGCCCTTCGGGTGACAGGTTGTACAGCTCGACCCGGTTAACCTTGGCCACGACCAGCTGTACGCTTCCGGAGCCGGTGAAATCACCCCGAATGGAGTCGACCGCCGCAGTCGGCTGGTGATGGGTCACGACGTAGCGCATCTTCGTATGCGAAGATGAGGTACGAATAGGCTATAAGAGACGGGCAGTTCACACCTAACGATGGTGGCCAGCGCTGAATAGGGGCCTGGGAAGCTCGCACGACGTCCCAGAACTCTGTGGCACGTGGAGCACCTCCACACGCTGTTCAATCGTCCAACCACTTGCATGCTTCATTTCAGACCGAAATGTTGAGCTCAGATTCTTATATTCTGAATAGTTATACCAGAAAGTGTAACGCTCAGCATTGAGATTAAACAGAACTCAAGTCATGTGCTAACGCCGATTCGGACCTTTAACGCCGTTCATTGATAAGGTTACAATGATCCTGCCTATACCGGGGTATACCTCACAATAACAAACCATCAATATCTACCACCTCCATCTCCACTCTTATCAAAGTTTCCTCCCACCTTTCGCATCAAGAATTCGCCGTATATTACAGGTTTGTACACGGTCTTCTCTGCCAGCAGCACTCGGGCATAGGCTTCGCTCTGCTGGTCTGCTGAATCGCGCAGAGACGAGAGGAGACGATCCACTCCGGTGAGGGGTGATACGAGCGCGTCGAAGGCGGGCTCGTAGAAGAATGGGATTCTGGTGAAATGGTCAGTGGGTGTTGCAGATGGTCATCCAATGCGTGCATACGATATACTGTGGGCCAATATCAGCATATATTCCTTCCGGAAATGGTTCTGCGACAACATACCGATAATTTCCTCTCTGATGTAACACTCGATGCAAGGTACTCCTGTACAGCCCTCTAGTCCATATCTCCCACATCTCCCCTATGTTGCACACAATACATCTCTCCACGGGATCAGCAGATATCCATGTGCCTCTCACACCATTTTCAATGGCTGGGCCAAGATCCATCCTTTCTCTTGGATGTTCACTCTCAGATATCGTTGGTGTGGCAAGCCCAGTATGGGCCGATATGGAGGCTGAGGAAGCGGGCTCGGGGAGGAAGACTTGTAGCGCGCCTTGTGTTTTGTCTGCCCATAGGAACGTAAGACACCCATAGTCCTTATGGGAACCGCAAGAAAATCCATCGTGTCCTGATGGAAGAGGAGGGTATCCGATGACACGCAGAACCCAGAACGAGTTCTCGACTTGACGACGAAGGGAGGCCCATTCGGAAGGAGTGAGCTGCAGACCAAGTGCCATTCTAGATGGCTCACTCATTCAGATCTTGTTGGCATTGAGCGGTAATAACGTTTCGACGTACGCCTCCATGACAATCAACCCCAGTTCCTTCATTCTTCCTACCCAACGTTCAAATCGCTCCCTAAATCGCGGGTCCGGTGGCCATTGGTTCTCCCCACTGAGAGGACGTACACCGGCCTGTTCTGGCGCACCGGGTGTTGCTGGTGGCGACGGATAAAAGGGAGAGGGCGCGTAAAAGTCGAGCGCCTCATGCGCATCTGGCTTGCCGCGGGTGACGTTCTCGTTCAGTTTCTGGTATCCTACCAGCGGCACGCTAGTCAGTAAAGTATCATGATAGAGCTCAGTCTCAGCGCACCGCGTGCCCAATCTCCATTTCCCAGCCATATCTTCTCTTTCTCATCTAGAGGCAAATCGAAGAATTGCTGCACTAGACTTCGAAGCTCTTCTGTTTCCTCGTTCGTTGCAAAGCCGGTCAAGTCGAGGTAGAAAAAGCCATAAGTTATGCAGGCGTCGTGTAAGCGCTTAGCTGTTGCAAGTCGTTCGATGGGCTCAGATAAGGGAAGTAAAGGGAGCAGAGGGATGATGGGCAGAGACATGACGTCGAGTGGACTGGGGGTGGTGAGGTAACATATTGTAGCGCAGGTGCGGCTTATCGAGATTCAATCCCTTTCCTGCACGTGACCATTTCATTCGAGGACACGATCATTTACTTGTGCCTGCCAATCTGAAACGGATCTCACGCATTCTAAGGTCAAGCATTAACAATGAGAAACATCAGTGACGGGCCACACATAGTATTTGGCAACTGGCCGTAACGCCGAACAACATTTTTGGTCTTAACCCACCGCGTGAATCTTCACCCATCTTATCTTCGTCTCCAACATGAAACCTCAACTTCGCCCTTTCAAGAGCAAGTACGACAGAGCAAGAATCTGTACAAATTTGGTGATACCATGCCTCCGAATAAGTGGCAGGGAAGGTAGGTGGTATTGGTGTGAATAGTCCCATGTATACGAGATCATTTTGTTCAGCTTCACACAAAAGCAAGCGTATCTAAAGTTGATACTTCCACCTAACATCCCTATCCCCAAAACGACGTCTTTCCTCTAACCCGTCGTTCCCTTCTTGGGCTTCCTGCTTCTCTCCCTTCTCACTCAACACCTTCTCCCTCCGTAAATTCTCCTTATTCAGCCAGAACCAGAGCCAGCCCGCGACGAGGGATCCAAACACCAGATAAGCCATCGCGACAATATGTGGCGTCCTGTACAAGTTCCCGGCCAAATCGGGTCGGTAGACGAGCACGCCGACAATGGCACCCAAGTCTCCGATCGAGATCTGAAGCGCGACAGCAACAGCACGCTTCGTTTGACTGCTGACATTCTCTGCTGGCCAGGAGAGGAGAAGGGCGTTCCCGGTGTATACTCCGGCTGTCGAGAGATGTACACCGAGATATTGCGGTCCAGCTGTATAGAGTAAGTCACCGGCTACCGCAACATCCCGAACATACCAGTCGAAGTGCTGACCAGCAGAATGTAACCAATGAACGCCACGCCAGCTGCGCCGATGATAAATGGAGCACGTATGTCGGCTTTGTACGAAGCGTAGCAGGCGAGCCAGATGCAGGTAGCCGCGAGTGCGTAGGGGGGTACGGTCATAAGCTGCGCTTCCCACGTCGCGAAACCGAGGTTGGCGATGATGGTGGGCTGAATCATTGGTTAGCGTTGCTTGACATCATCGGGTATGTGATGTACCATGAACAGGCTGATAGAGTACAACACAAAGCTAAGGATAGAGTATCAGTTCCATTTCATTCTGATTCTCAGGAGGGCTTACGCGAAGCCGTGGAATAGCAATGCATAGCCCCAAACTGCGTGATCACCGAGTGCTTGCTTCACTCCGTCCCAGTTGAACGGCTCCAGATCGGCGGCATCGCTATCCCTACTTAGCATAGTAAGGAGATAGCCACGCTCGGCTTCCGTTAGCTGTCAAACATTAAGACACTCTATGTATGACAGGAGAGAACACGCATACGAAAGTCGCCGAGCGAGGCCAAGTGGGAACGATGAAGTACTGCTTCCATCAATGTTGTGATTCGAACGATTTATTTCGCACTCACAGCACAGAGCGACACGAACACCGTCAGGCATCCCTCGAGGATGAAGATCCAGCTCCAACCCCTTCTCCCACCAACACCGTCCATAAGACCGATGGCGTATGCAAGCGCTCCTCCAAAAGCGCCTGAGACAGCTGCTCCACCGAAGAAGATCGCTACGCGGTAGTGCCGCACACGACGAGGGTAGTACATCGAGAATACGAAGATGGATCCGGGGAAGAGACCCGCTTCTGTCATTCCTAGGACTATGGAGACATTAATTGCGGATAGAGGAGATGAGGAAATCACTTACAGAAACGAACAGAAAAAAGACCCACTTGATTGGATACAAGTCCCTGGGTGACCGACACGATGCCCCACACTAGCGTATTGTTCAGAAACGACAAAAATGAAGTGAAGGAGCAGGGACATACAGAGGGTCAAAGTAGGGAGCCAAATTCGGGGGTTCAGTCGCTTGAGAACCATGTTGCAGGGGACCTCCCAGATGACGTATCCAACGAAGTAGATCGCCAGGGAAGTGTTGTAGTTGGCCCCAATGACATTGATGTCCTGATTCGCTAAGAAAGCACCGAAGATTAAAATACAAGTGGCTTACTGTTGTCAATCCGTCGAGCCTTGAAGAATGTGAACATAAAACCGTGCCACGTGAACTGTTTGGCTCACTTTGCATTCCCAATGTTGGAGCTTGGGTTCTTATTAGCCCAGGTGGCCAAACAGTTGAAAGATACTTACCGATCCAAAAAGCTCAACAAATACAGGAGGGTGAGAATAGGAAGCAGGCTATGTCCTCATGAGCGCACGTCTACTCAGATCGGGGAGATAGGGTACCGCACTTCAGGTCAATCTTCCTAATGAGTCTTGCCTCGTTCACTGGTGGGAAAGCATCTACGGAAACAGTCTCAACGTTCGCGGGAGCGTCCTTGATCGACGCTTCTTGAGATAGGGATTCAGGAACAGCTGGGGTGTCCATACTGTTGATGGGAGGAGACGAGCGATTCCAGCAGTGCAGAAGGACTCGCTTCGAGGGCTAAATACCCACAAAACTGAATCGTGCATTCTACCGAATTGGAGCCAAACGCATGGCGTGCGAAGAAATGGTACGATTGTTTTCTATTTGATGCCCGTTTCAAGGGTATGTAATAAGAGACAGCACCGGTATTACGGTGATAGTCTTTGGGATGGTGGAATGTTTGCGCCATAAAGAAGCCGGAACGCGCCAACCACCTTGCTTGAAAATATCCACATGGCAGGAGGACCCTGATGCCAAGGGACATCGCAACCCTAACCCTACTTCTGCACGTGATGTGACTGGGGAGTGGCGCAGTTCGACTGGATCGGAATATTCGCTCATCGGAATTGACGTTCCCTTGCCTTCAACTGGTTACTTCTTCTCCTTCTTCCTGCTTGAATAGAAAGCATGGAAGCCTTATTCTTCAATGTATGCGCCTCATTAAACCGGATTTCTAAATCAATTGACTCTGGTTCTCGCAGGTTCATGCCGGCTTCATTGAGGGCATCGTGCGAGGCTACCGCTCGGGTCTGCTCACAACGCAGCAATATCACAACCTGACACAATGCGACACTCTCGAGGACTTCCGCATGCAGCTTTCTCAAACAGATTATGGGAACTTCCTTGCGAATGAGCCAAGTCCGATCACCACGAGTACAATACATGCTAAGGCGACCCAAGTATTGGTGGATCAGTTCAACTACATGAGGGCGAATGCAGTCGAGCCGTTGAGCACATTCCTTGAATACATGACGTGGGTCATGCAAACCGAACAGTTGTAGCTATTGTGCTAACATGGTGCAGATATGCATACATGATTGACAACGTCATCCTCTTGATCACTGGTACACTCCACGAGCGAGACACACATGAACTTCTGGAACGCTGTCACCCGCTCGGTGTGTTCGACACGATGCCTGCCCTTTGCGTTGCCACCAACGTCGAGGAGCTGTATCACAGTGTTCTTGTAGAGACACCATTAGGTGCGCTTGCATCATATATGTGATACTGACATCCCTGCTGACCTGTTTACAGCTCCTTACTTCCGCGATTGCCTCTCAGCCTCCGATCTAGACGACCTCAACATCGAGCTGATTCGTAACACGCTGTACCGAGCCTATCTGGAAGACTTCCACAAGTTCTGCAGCACGCTTCCTGGTCCTACTCCTGATGTGATGCACCAAATCCTGGCGTTCGAGGCCGACCGCCGTACCCTCAACATCACCATCAACTCGTTCCACTCATCGTTGTCGAAGGATCAGCGCGCACGGCTCTTCCCTAATATTGGACGTCTCTTCCCTGAAGGAAATAACGCACTTGCAAGAGCTGATGATCTGGAAGGTGTTAAGAACGCGTGCGAGTACATCGGGCAATATCGCGCATTCTTCGATACGACGGGACAGGGGCAAACAAATGGCTCTAGTGCACTGGGACTGGAGGATACGGACGCGGCATTAACAAGACTGGAGAATGCGTTCTTCGCGCACGAGGTGCACTTGAACAAGCTCTCGTTCCTGCAACAGTTCCAATACGGCGTGTTCTACTCATTCGTCAAACTCAAGGAGCAGGAGATTCGAAGCTTGACTTGGATTGCGGAGTGTATTGCGCAAGAAGCGAAGGATCGGGTTGAGGATTTTGTGCCAATTTGGTAAAAGGGGTGGACGATCGCGAGTCGTAGAGCATGGTTGTAAAGATACATTGCAGCGGACTAATTCACTCATACCATCGCCCTTCCCCTGCGCTAAATATACATCATTGGGGACATCAGCGCTCTTATCGCACTTGCTTCCCTCTCTCAAAGATAGTCAACACCCTCCACTTCTTCTCCCCTCCCTGCTCCCACTCCTTGACAAACCCCGCTTCTCCGCCTTCGAATTCCACCATCAGTCCCTCCTCACTCCACTCGCACCAAATGCCGATGTTCCCAGCCTTGGGCCCGCCTCCGCCGCCTTTCCGCTGGGGCTCACCAAGGGCGAGTACAAAGTCTTTACCCAGCGTTGTGCGTGTGATGGCGAATGGAGGGCGCGGGGGCGATCCAGACCGCGGTACGAAGGTGTACGGCAACCCGACGAATGCTGCATAATCTGGTCCTTTCTTCTTGCCTTGCTGCTCCGGGGGATTGTACATATCTACGCTCTCGAGCCTCAAACGCTCGCTCTCGAGCTCCTCCAGCGCTTGTGCAGACTTGGGAGGCGTATATCCATCGATGGGAATGAACATGCAGGAGATGCCAAGAGTGTAATAGTTCAGGTAGACTGCGTCCGGGTAGGACTTGATCTCGGGGGTCGGCGGAGCGGAGAGAGACGCGCGAGTGGCAATTTGTTCGATGGAAAAATCATGAGAGGCAGCGGAGAGAGTGCTGCCTAGCCAGGCGTGCAGGTCTATGCGAGAAGTTGCATCGGACATGGCTGCATACCGTAGAGTTAGGGAGAACCCTACGGGCGCTTCTTTCATGCTGACCACCACCGAACCATTCAATGGAGAACGCAAATACTCCTCTCACTGGGTCTAAAAGACTATCAAACAATAAGGCGTTAATATATGCCTATAACTAATTATAGAGTGATTTCCGATTAGTTAATAACTGACTAAGTGAATATTTGGATAATAAATCCTGGCTCAGAGATTCAGGTATTACCGTATTGTACTTTCTTGGTGCTGGGTGTTTAAGAACTCGAGCAGTAGGTGGATTGTCCCTGCTGACAGACGTAGGACTGATGTGTGCCTTAGATTTTGCATAATTGACATAAGTAGCGAAGAACTCACCTTCAACATGGGCTCCGAAGTCGCCGTTGGGCCAGTGACGAGCGAGGACAAGCACTGCTGTTCGGCGGTGATCGGAGTCTGGCTGAGGTTGAGACTACAAGAAGGATTAGCATTACTGGCATTTTTTCGTTAAGTTGAAGTACGCACTTATGATTCGAAGCATATTCGTTGCAGTAGATGCTCTGGAATCGATTGGCAGAAGCGAGACCTCCGTGGGTGAGGGCATCAAGGGCGAGACCATACGCTGCGGTATCGACAACCATGTCCCCTGTTACCGGTCATTTTCAGTGTCCGAAGAAGAGTCATCTTATCTTACAATGATTGGCCTGGTGTCCGGAACCACAAATGTTGTTGCTTTGGAGCATGATGTTGCTAGCGCCAGCCAGCACAGAAACCGCGGAACCGGGAGTCTCGGGGAAAACGAAGTCATCGTAGAGAGTGTAGATGCTAGACGTAGGTACCAGGGCGCTGCCGCCACGGAAATTCTGCGCATTGATGTAATGGCTGCCGACGGATTGCTGAATGACGGAGATAACGCAGCCATCGCCCTGAAGAATGGTCGGTGTGCAATCATTGTTTCCAAGCTCGGTACCGTGGAAATCGCCACTGGCACGAAATCAGCACTGCAAATCCTTGCATTCTCATCGTTAATGAAACTTACGCAAGAGCAATATAGAGACTGGTGACCCCACGAGCACTGGGCCAGAAGTTGAGCGCCCACTGGACGTTCAAGCCGGCACCCTGGGAGTGTGCGAGGATGGCGACCTTGCCGGTGGTAGATTGGGGTGCGAGCGTCTTGATGCTGTATGCCACATACTCAGCAGTCGTTTGTACGTCTCCAAGAGCGCGTTCAGGGAGGTCGACCCAGCACACGTCGTATCCAGGACCCAGGGGATCCGTTGGCAAGAGGATCGTGTAGGGAGATTGCGCCCAGCTTTCGCTGCCGGTACTTCCAGTACCATGGACGAGCAGTACAATTCCTGTATCAAAAGGTTACTATAAGGAACCTGTACCAATGGGAGAAACGCGTGCCTCCGCGCTTGTGCTGAATTCCGTTCGGGCAGGTGATAGCCGCTGCCATGGTTGAAGTGGACACATCAAATGGAGCGTCTGTCTGACCTGGAAACCAGGCAGTAGAATCCGCACTTATAGAAGTGCTATTAGATTGTCTACTGTCCAACTGCCTCCCGTCCAGAGGAGCAGCGAGAACAGATAGTGCCGATATAATGATGAATGCGAGGAAAGACATTGTAGGAACGAAGACCAGGCTCAGAACCAGTACAAGAGGAATCCGAGAGGAGGACCGAGGGATAGAGAGCTGTTACCAGATTCGAGACGCCTTAAGTATCGCAGAGGGGCATGCACAGAAGGAACTTCAGAAGCGCTATTCAGTTGCCAAAAGCAGCCCATCGTCAGGGACAAAAGCACAATGGCGCTAGCACAAGAGTGGTCGCATGTTTCCAAAGGAGCTTGGTTATTCTTGGTCCAATGTAGTATTTCATGTCGCTTGGGAACCACAGCGGAGTAACGTGAATGAATCATCGAATCAAACCGCTCCTTGACACGGACGAGAAAACGACAACCCTGTCGGTGCCACAAAGAGGCCGGAGACCGTAAAGAGCCACACCGACACCGATGATCTCCGTCATGTCCTAATCGATTGTTCCTCAAATGGTGCCTGACCTGTCCCAGAGTCCATCGAATGCTAAAATATGGTTGTTGAGAGCATCCGCAGAGCGGATGTTGCTTTCATCAGTCCAGAGGTCGTACCACCACGGGACCTCGCCCTTGTCATCAAACACTCGAATACTCCTGACGATGCCTGCTGTTTTCGGGATCCCGGGTTAGAATGTATACGTAGCCATGATAAGGCCTCTTTACTCTCCAAAGGTTGGTCCGGTCTTCGATGCGAGTGCCTAGCAAAGGAGGATGACCTGAAGCAGATCTGGACGAGACGGCTGTCGGACCGGAGAGACAGAGATGCATCCGTGCCATTGTGCGGCTCCCGGTGACGCAACAATGTGAAACAGGAACCATAGAGGTCAGTTAGCGAATTCCGAGTCCAGGGGCATGGGAGCAACAATTCATCCAAGAATAAAGACCAAAAGATTCAGGGTTTTCGGGAGATTTCAACCGAAGAATTCGTTGTATATAGCATCGTGGCTATTTATACATCGTGGCTATTTATACATCGTGGCTATTTATATATCGATATTATTAGTACGCGAACACGAGGTTTTCGGTTGCGAAGAGCGCGCGGCCCATGATCATGTCTCATCCTAGCTGATGATCAACCACATGACTGTACCAGAAGCAGCATGCCCGCTTCTGCACAATGGGATACCGCCAACCCCCACCAGTTTCGGCGGTCAAAGAGCCGAAGCCGGAACGACCTGCTGAGCAAGTGCCTCCAAGAGAAATGACGGGATAGTTTGCCGATAAGCGGGTACCTTGCCAGACCAGTGTTCCATCAATAGAAACCAAAGCTAACAATCGCCAATTGTGCCGCCTACTGACGGTGACGCACAGCAGCCATGACGGCATACATGAAAGGGCCAAGTGTGAGGCACACACAAGGAACATGATGAAAGGCAAAATGTCCGTAAGCGCCGGCTGTGGTTATCGTATGATGGGGTTGATCGGTCTTTCCATCCGGTTGGCCAAGGCAGGATTGATCTTGTATTCAGTCTCGGCACGCATCGGGACTGTTGGATGGACAATGATCAACGGTGGCATGCCTTTTGTACCATAACACGTCCCTGACTGTGCCTTTGAGTATGTTCTCGGCCACGGCTTGTTCGGCGGGCAGTTTGGAGTCTGCAGGGGAGGACAGCTAGCTTCGTTCGAGAGTTGCTGAAGTCCCGCTGGGTGAAAAACGGCGTTCCGATCAAGTGGACTCCCTCCGAGAGAATGGTACAACAACACTGGTAGAAGATGAATGCCAATTCCGACCATCATGTGAAAGACGGAAGAACTTGAAAGTTGAATCAGGATGTTACCTGGAAACGGTGTCCGCCCCTTCCGAGTTACTTAGCAGGACAACACGTTCTTTGTAAAGGATAAATATAGTACACACCATCTACTGATTGAGATCTTCATTCCCCATTCCATGCTGGTACACCTAAGCACACAATCCCGCCAGCTCTTTCACAAGCACCTGTACGCTCTTCTGCCGTACTCCTATCTCTCCACACCCACCCGGCAAGAGCTTGTCCAACAACACCTCCTGCGCCTGTAAGACCTGCAGCAGCTCTCTGAGTTCTTCCCAGCCCGGGGCGCGGAAGACGAACAGCGCCAGACTGGCCACGAGTCGGTGGACGACTTCCTCGCTGGATGTCTCCCTGCTCAAGGCCTCGATGAGCGCGGAGACGACTTCTATGATCCAGTCTTCCGAGGGAGGACGAGTGTGCTTTTCCAGCGCTTGGCGCACTGCTTGTTGGTGCAAGGCACCAAGGTTGAACGTCACGCTCGCTGTGGCTGTCCTTATACCCGCATCGTCAGACAGGAGCGTACAGACGAGGAAACTGACTAGGTCCTGTTTCTCCCCTTCGGAGGGGAAGACCAAGCGAGCCAAGTCAGGGTAGGCGAACAGGTTCGCACATAGTCTGAGGGTGGTGAGGAGGTAGGGCCGGGGGGTGGAGGCGCCAGAATAATAGGCGAGGGAGAGGAGGGACTTAATCCCTTCTATGTTGCCGGAGAGGGCGTGGGCAACAGGAGAGGAGAGGACCGCGAGGCGCCAGAAATCCGCTAGGGGGAAGAGCTCGCCCTCGGGGAGAAGTGCAGCCAGGTCTACCGTGGCGGCCGACCAGGCCTGTAGGGTACTTCTCAGCTGCGCAGGGGGTAGTTTCGCCTGCGGCTCGAGTAGGAGCAGCACTTGTCGGAAAAGAAACTGGTAGCGCTTTTTGTCCCCCTCCGAAGCGGAGGCGGCGTTCACAAAAGAGAGAAACTTGGATAACGCGCTGTCCAGTTTCGGAATTTGAGAAAAGAGGATCGGGCTGAGTGATATGCCCTGTATTGCTGGCAGATCCTGCCGCGTATGGGGGTGCGCTGCGGGAAACGGTGAGTCAATATCCCTGGATGTGAGGACCGACGCACGAGGATAAAGCTCGCATATCAACAGATCGACTTGGGTCCTAATCTCTCGCACGTTCGCGCCCCTCACTTCTCCCCTCTTCTTCCCTTTCAAAAAGCACATTACGGTCGGGGTAGCGCTCACGCCCCATTCCTGCGCCGCGGCCCGACCTAGCCCAACGTCCAGGTCCACTTTGACGTATGCGAGCCCCTCGGCAGTACGCAACTGCGCGAGCTCAGAGAAGAAGGGATCGATGACCCTGCACGGGGCGCACGTGGCGGGAGCGGTGAAGAGTACTGTGGCGGCTTTGTGGGAATTGAGCAGGGAGCGGAGGGAGGAGGGGTTGGTCGCTAGTTGGAGTGGGGCGGTGAGGGTTGCTGTTTCCGGTACTGGAGGTGGTCGGGATACGAGGGAGGCGAGGGGAGAGGAAGATGGAGATGGAGAGGTGCCAGAAGGGAGGGAAGGTCCGGGAGTGGGAGGCGCAGTCGGAGGACCGCGGAACATGCTATCGATCGTAGGGCGCAGTGCTGCCCCTAAAGGCGTGTTCAAGAAGTCCGCCGGCAAGTCTGTATTTCCTCAGCTCTCTCCCTCCAAGCAGAGTAGGGGTATAACGCAGGGGTACAACGCACCTTTTATGAACCCTGGGATCGACCCTCCCGTAAGGAAACCAACGACGTCGTTCGTAAAAGAATTGCAGTTAAACTCCAGCAAGTGGTATTTGTCAGCCGTATAATGCGAGCTTAGCTCGTCGATGTATTCCTGGAACGTGCCTTCGTCGAGGTGTGTTAGCCCCATGTCGAGGATTTGCAGCGGGCGGCCATGCTGGATGATTTCAGTCAGTTGGTGGCATGGGGAGAGGAGGAAGAGCACACGTGTGACGTGCCGGGAGAGACCACACTTATCCCCTGACCATAGAACACTTCTTTTCCAAAAACGACCACACTCGTGTGCCTTCAAAATGCGCACGATGAAGCACGACACGACACGACTCTGTCAACAGAGGAGAAGAGCAGCAGGGGACAACGCACCAGATACCGTCGATCTGCCGGCCTGTGAGCTGCAGGGATAGGGACCGTGCCATCCCGGACGAGAGGTCGTACACGTAGAGCTCGACTTTGGACATTCTACTCTGTACGCTGTCAGCGGCGGGGATGTAGTGCGGCGAGGACGACGACGACGACGACGACGACGACAGGTGGGAAGGTGGGAAGAGGGAAGGAGGCACGTAAGCGCTAGAATGAGTGGGTGTCGTCAGCGCTTTACACTGAGGTTATCGCCGAGCGTGTAACACCGATCAAGGACGGGCGCTTAAACGGCACGTGATTCACAAGCTTAACCTCCGTCGTCAGTGTGTCTGATTGTATCTCTGCTAGACACGGTTAACATCCGACAAACAAGCTTTCCAGCAGCGTATGTCAGTACCACCAGTACCAGTGTCTATCGTTCAACTCTAGACCCGTCTGAATGATCGACAGTTGCCTCTCCGAGCGCAACGCAATCGGTATCAGTCCTGCCTGACCCAAAGCTCAGGCTGCCAGATGAAGATGCTCGACCTGCATCCCAAATTTGGTCCGAATTGGCCTATCTGTCGTCTGTCATCTGTCGTTCATCCTAACATGTTACTTCACCCGGAACACTCCGTCCATAAGATAAACATAACGGAACTGCGTCTCTCCACGCCGAGTCTGACAGCCTGAGCCAAACAGCCTCTAAGTGTCTACCCCGACACTGGCACAACAGGTTCAATATCATAAGGTTGACACGAGCGCTGACCCGGGGTTCAAGTTCTCAATATCAGGGCTGAGGGCTGCCGATCGTTCCCTCCCAAGGGGGGGTCAAACGCGCACGGGCTTGCTCTGTACGGCCCGGGTGTCAAAACGTTTGCTGAGGACAAAGGGTATGGTCTGCGACCTGACAGGGATGTGCGAGTGCAAGTGCTACTGTGCTCTACGGGGATCATGCCCGCATGCCCGTCTACCACTCTGCTCAGGCTCTTCCAATTCCGAGCGAACATGAGACCACTACTGGGACTTTGTGCGCAGACTGGTACCCTGCCCTCAGCCTCCAAATAGATGCTTTGTTAGTATGTATTTTGGACTCGATACGGCCCGGGCTCACCGGCAGGAGATACTTCGCCTTTCGCCTTTGGGGTCGAATGCGGAAGGACATGAAGGGGTTTATCGTTTCGGAGACTCGGACGCCCCGGCCGACGCGCTCGACTGGGAACGGTTCATCGGTAGCATCTATTACTATTATTATCGCGATGGTCAAAGTTTAGCTATCATCTCCCTGTCGTGTTCGGTCATCACAAGGACACCCCCTCTCACGCCGTCTGGCCATGCGATCACGGTGCTCAGGTCAAGTGGGTATCGTGCCTCTCCAACCTTTCCAGAAAATTCATAATCCACGATCATGGCTTGAACTTTGCCTTCTGAAGAGTCGGCGATAAGGATGTTTGGGGTTCGGAGGTCGCCGTGTACCAGACGGTTGTCTTTGAGGATATTCAATATCTTGTGCAGTTGTGCTCGGACGTCTTCCTGTTGCTGCGAAGAGAAGTTTAGCTCCGCCTCCCATAATGGAGCGCCGGGGACGAAACCCATGACGATCTACCCTCCTGCAATCCACTGCTCCGCAAACACCGGAGGAGCGAACCCAACTCGCGCCAACGTTTCGTGCAAAGACAGCTGTATCTTCGAGTAAACTTGACGACGACCTCGGTCTCTTGCCCATCGGAACCGGTTGCTTTTGCCATATACATTGGCTGCTGGTGACGAGTGTTCTCCAAATGAGAGACATAGCGAATTTCGTAGTCGCCACACCGTCGAGAGTACGGCATGTACGGCAGGACGGAAATCGCATGATTCTCCGCAGGAGGTTCCAATTCAGAGTAATATGTCTGGAGGTCCTCGGCGCATTGTTGAGTGCACCATAGGACGTGACAGAGCCGGTCAATGCGCTGAAAATCATCAGTGTCTAACGTCAGCGAGAGATTGTCTGTAAACTGGTTGACACTGGCCGCAGGTTGGAATACCACCCCGCTGACTTGAAGGAACGGGCCGATCAGCGTGATGAGGAGAACGGGGCAGTTGGATGCTTCGCAAAGTAGGGCGTTCTGTCAGAGCGTAAGCTTTCTGAAAATTAAGCTGGAGCTCAAGAGGTAATCTCACGGTCTCCTGGGCCCATCCCTTCCTCGCAGTCAGCTGGACCTGGAAGGAAGGTTCGGCTGGCCCTGCTCCGACTTCCGACTTATATTCAACGACTAGGATATCCGCGGAGATGTGACCGAACTTGGAGAGGGTCACGCGCGAGTGCCCCTCGGCTCCACTCTCGCTGTGGTGATCCTGGATGTCCTCCAGTTCGCACTTGAGGATCTGTTGCATTCCAGGTTCGAGTCTCTTCCTCCGGTCGTCTTCTTCATCACGGCCGGCATCGATAATTGAAGCTTTCTGCATGAGCAGCTGGACGCATGCAGCAAAGCCGTCCGGGTACTTCTCGGGATCTGAAGTCTGACAAAGCCTGGCAGCGTATCGAGCGAAAGGTTCGCACAGAATCGTGTTTGGTGCGCCTAACATCAATGGTCCACGGCCGTTGTATACGGGAGACTGAAGCTGGATCTCTTGGAACGCCTCTGGGACCGCTCTGGTTGACGGGGATGGTGCTCTGCGAACGCTCTCGACGTATGTGCCCAGATCTGCTTAGAGCGTTGAGTACCATGGATCAGCTGGCCTGCGAATAACAGATCGAGTGTACCGTGAATTGGATTCCGATCCCCCTGGTTGTATTCAGGAGGCGGCGGGGGGACGTTATTATTATGGTCTGGTTGTGCGCGGTAAGTAAACGTACGCGGCCGTTTGACAGTTGCTGACCTTTTGGCTGCAGAAAGAAATGGATTTGATAAGGTTTGCTCTCCCTCGGAACGTTATCTTCAATCTTCATAGTAGGTTTCAACAGCACGCCGCCGCGAAGGAGCATTGCAGCGTATTGTTGGTCAGACTCTTCTACACCTTGTGGGCGAGGTTCCTTGGACCGGTTCAGCAAAAGTGCAGGATGTCAAGAGTATGGCGAATATGCACCGATACAACTCGCCACAACCTCGACATTGGGCGGCGCGTACTTGCCCGGGGTTTGGAGACTGTCCAACACTTGTTGTCTCAAGTCCGTCACCAAGTCGTTGCGATCCACCTCCACGTCCCACTTCTCGTTCAATGGCGCCCAATAGACGCGAACTTTCAAAGTGTTGCTCTTACTTCGTTTCGTCGTCTCGTTCGTCTCGACTTGTTGTTCATCGTGCCGCCGCTTACGGGACTCGGTGCTCATCTTTCGTTTGGTGAACTTGGCCGGGGAGGGGAAAGGGTGAGACGGGAGTTTGTGTGGAGCTGAACAGAGGTATTGTGTGTAACGGTGACAGGTTCGAGTGTATCGGATACGCTCCGTGGATAGAACTTTATAAAGTAGAATAGAGTAGAGTAGAGAGCTAGACTCGATGATAGTATTATAGCAGAGAGTATTGTATGAAGAGTAGGAGTGAAGACACCTATCACCTTGAGCTTGTCATCCTCCACGATTGGTGACGTCAGGCTAGTAAGGTAAAGGAGTGAGTGTCTTAGAGAGGGAGACGAGACCTAACTACATGCTGATTACCTAACCCTCCCTCATCACGTTGTCACGGTCGTCACATTGTGAGTCCGAGCACAGCCTCAGCCTTCCCGGCCTGGACTTGAAGCTGACAACAATTGTATAGTCAGGGCAGCCTAGCAGATTCCCCCCGTGTGGAGATTGCGAGTGCTGATGTGGAGAAATCGGCGTAGATCGGTAGCTTGCTGTCTATTCAGTGGAGTACCCTGTTCTTGCTCATTGTAAAGTCAGTCCGATATAGGGAGATCGATTAGATAGCCTCTCCCTTTTCCAGTTGCACACCTTCCGATCCCTCCCGACGGTCCCCTCCAAAGCGGAGTGTGAATTGATCGGGGATGATAATAATGTCCATGTGTTGGTTGGCTCCCAAGGGAAGAGGCGCCTCATTCAGGGCACCCCTGACTGACGGGTGGGGTCGGGAGTCATCTTCCATTGAGGGAAGTAAGCCAAGAGTGACGAATATATTCTCCGCAGAATGTCCCGCGTCACCCCGGTTATTGATGCATTGTGTCATGTGAATCCCCTCTAAGATTGCGGGTGATACCGGGGTAGAATACGTCAGTGAATGCGGGGTAAGAAACTGTGAAATAGGCTGACATGTCACTAAGCTGCTCATTTTCCCCCAACGACAGGCCCTCTTTTCACTCTGTTGCCTGTTGCGCATATACCCAGCTCTTTATCTCTCTCATGCCTCTCTCACTCCACACCTTTCATCCCATTCCCCGTCCTCATCCTTTCACCATGGTCTCCCTCCTCACCACCACCGCCGTTCCCCGCAGGCTCACCCACACAAAACACCACACAGAGCCAATGTCCGACCCTTCCCTGCCCCCAATGCACAGGTATCAACCCTTCATCCCCTCCCTCCCCCTTCCCTCTCTAGCACACACCATCCCCCTCTACCTGAGCAGCATCAAGCCCCACTGCACACCTTCAGAGTACGCACTCGCCAAATCAGAAGCAGACGACTTCCTCCTCTCCCCTCTCGCGGCACTCCTCCAGTCCAGACTCGAACAACGTAGACAGGACGAAGAGCAAAAGGCGGCCTCCTCGGATGTGCAAGGGGCTATACAGGGCATAGGCGGGAACTGGCTCGCAGACTGGTGGAACGCGCTTGCTTATAACCAGTTTCGCGACCCGGTCGTCCCCTGGGTGAGCTACTATTACGTGCACAAGGATGCAGAGACTAGGGAGAAGCCGGAGAGGAGAGCAGCGCAGTTAGTCAGAGGGGCGATGTTATTCCGCAAACTGGTCGAGGTGCCCAATCTCCCCCTCCCCGTCCCGCCCGCGGTTGCTCACTCGCGCAGTCAGGAACACTCGAACCGGATAAGATGCGTCAAACGCCCCTCGACATGAGCAGCTTTCGCTACCTGTTCAACAGCGCGCGCTACCCGCACCCGGAGGAGGACTATACGAAAAAGTTCGATCCAGGGGAACATGGACACGCGGTGTTCGTGAGGAAGAACAGGTTATTTAAGCTCCAGGCCGAGGGGTTGAGGCTTGACCAGCTGGAGACGTGCGTCCTGTGTCTTGTGTGCGTTCTGTGTATTGGGGTGACTGACCTTGTACAGTGCGATAAGGAAGATCTACGCTCTTGCTACCGAGTCCGCACCCGCACCCTCCGTAGGCTCGCTCACCTCCGCCCCACGCACATTCTGGGCCTCGGCACGCGCGCTCCTCACACAGAACAAGGGGAACGACCGGGTCCTGGAAGAGATCGACAGTGCTGTTGTGGTCGTGGCTCTGGATGAGGAGAGACCGGTTACGAGGGAGGAGATTGGCTGGGGGTGTTGGGCGGGGAAGAAGGGGGGAGGGGGGAGGGGGAGGTGGTTCGATAAACATCAATGTGAGTTTGTTCGGCCTAGGGAGGACTACGTCTTTGTCTCCTATGTCTGTTATACTTCCTGCAACCTTTCGTCGGCATTCCCACTTTCGGCCGTAACGGTCTCCATCCCCCGTCTACCACCTCTCCTCCTTCTTCGCACAGCCCACTAACACCCCACAGTCATCGTATTCGACAACGCCCGCTCCGGTTTCCTAGGAGAACACAGCGCGATGGACGGCACTCCCACACTGCGAATGAACGAATTCATCCTCGCGGCACTCGAAGCCGGGAAACTCGAATCCCCCAAAAAGGACCAGGACGAGGGGAAATCGAACCCGCTCAATCTTGACCCGGAGGAACTGGTGTTCGAAGTGAACGACCAGGTGAAGGAGAAGATCGCGGAGAGTGAGACGATGTTTGATGAGGTTATGGCCAAGCATGAGATGCGGGTGTGTACCTCCCCCCCCGTGTCCGAGGCAGCACTCACCCCCCCCTCCCCAGGTGCTACACTACACCGCGTACGGCTCCGACCTTATCAAATCCTACAAATGCTCCCCCGACGCCTGGGCCCAGCTAGTAATGCAACTCGCGTGGCACCTCTCCTTTTCCCGCCCAGGCGTATGCTACGAGTCCTGCCAGACGCGCAAGTTCAGGCGCGGGAGGACGGAGGTCATCCGTTCTTCTTCGGAAGAAAGTAGGCTCTGGGCGGAGGGGATGCTTGACCCGGACGTGTCGGACGGGGTGCGCAAGGAGATGTTCTTGAAAGCTGTACAGAGGCATTTGGAGTATGCGGGCCAAGCTGCTAATGGCCTGGGAGTGGATAGGCATCTCCTTGGGCTGAGGATGGTCCTCCGCCCCTCTGAGTCCCATCCATTCCTAGACTCTCCACTGATGCAGAAGACGAAAAACTGGGAGATGTCGACTTCCCAGCTCTCCTCTGCATATGTCCAAGGCTGGGGGTACGCCGAAGTTGTGCCAGAGGGGTATGGCTTAGCGTATGCTATACATCCGGATCATTTGAGGTGGACTATCACGTGCCTCAAAGGGGAGGGGGAGGGGGGGAGGGCGGAGAGGATGGCCTGGTATATTGAGGAAGCGGCGGGTAGGGTTAGGCGGATGATGCGGTCTGCGAGAGAGGAGGAGAAGGGGTTGGAGAGGGAGGGGGAGGAGCCTGCGGGCCCGGCGGGGGGGAGGGCGAAGTTGTAGGGGTTTTGGAAATGAGCAATGGGAGGTGTGTACGCTAGGTTACTGCTGAAAGACTGGGCATGCGCCGAAACTGGGAGTCGTTAAGCGCCGACGGCTTGGCACTGTGTGATGGAGAGACGGATCTGGGATCTGGGATCTACTTGCCAATGTACTGTAACTCTTCGAGCGCTCATACTTCTTCCGGTTTAGTTGCTACTTCCCCCGAAGCAAGCTGTTTCATCTCCTCCTCCTTCTGCTTACACAGCTCGAGCAGTCTCTTTCCCGCCTTTTCAAAATCCCCAATCTACACCCTCCGTATGAGCGCCTATCCAACCCAAAATAGACGTATACACACCTCATTCCATATCTGCGCACTACATCTCGTCCACCATCCCCCGTCGTGCACGTACAAGTTCACCATCAGCCCGTGTTCTTCTGAGAGCTGGTCGCATATCCTGAATATCAGGTCTTGGAGTTGGGGGGTGCTGAGCTTGCTGGGGGGGGAGAGGGGGAGGCGGACGTTCGTCTATGGTAGGGAGGGGATTGGATTGGGTCAGCGGCGAGGGAGTATGAAGTGCGTGAAGAAGGGCAGGGGGGGGGGAAGGGACGAACCATGTTAGCCGTCAGCTCCCCCGAGTTGTCCATCACCTCCGTTCCCAAAACCTCTCCGAGCTTCTTACCCCCCTCGAGGGCCAGAGAGTGACAGTACGCTGTTATCCTCTCTTCTTCGCCTAGGCTCTGGCGGTAATCTAGTGCCGGGGCGAGGGAGAGGAACGGCACGTAATCGATCGTCCGGCAATCTGTGCCGTCAGGTTATGCAAGGGGAAGAGCGGGGAAGAGCGGGGAGCAGGGAACAGGGAGCAGGGAACGTACATTCGAATAAGGTTACAAAGCGCCCGCTGCCTGTTGCAGAGGGGACTTCGTCCTGAGGGGAGACGTAGCCTATACTGCTAGGAAGGGTGAACTTGATCAGGTGCTGATTTCGTTTTGGAACGTAGAATACGGCGGAGGCGCGTTTAGAGAAGAGCCATTTATGTCCGTTCTTGTGAGCGTCAGAACAGGACTTCCTAACGAAGGTTGCACGAGGCTGCACGCACGGAGACCCAAAAGTCCGGCTGAGTCTTGTTCAGATCCACGGGAACCTGGCCTAACAGATGCGCCCCGTCCACGACACTCCATACGTCCAGCTCCTTGCATATGGCTACCATCTCTTCCCAGGGCAGGAGCACTCCTGGCTTGCTGGCGATCCCGTGGATGATAGCAACGACTTTCTGTCCGGCATGGCAAGGGATGGAGACCAGTGTGCTGCGGAAGCGTTCTAAAAGGTCTGAGTGCGTAATCGGGTATGTTACTGGGATGGAGACGAGCTCTACGCCAGTTGTACGATCGAGGGTCATGGGAATCGTTCGTTGGACTGCACCGTACGTTGAGGAGACTATTTTCATCAGTCTTGACTCGCCCTAAACAAGTAAAACAACATGCATTGCACTATGACAACTCCGGGCTGCCAATCGATGTTAAAAAGGATCGTGTTAATTCCGTGCGTTGCGTTGGTGATGATAACACATTCATCCACATCAGCGTTCACAACTTGTGCGACTCTCGCACGAACTTCCTGCAGCATCTTGCGGGCAGTGTTTCGGATGAAGAGGTCCGGTTTCTGTTCGACTTGGACAGCCAACTTTTCCGTCGCGCGGAGGACGGGGATAGGCAGAGACCCGTACGAGTCTGGTATTCGGGGTTAGAAGCGCGACTTGTGAAGCTCTAGAAACACACCATGATTCAGGTTGATAAAGCCCGGAGGAAAGCAGAACTGATCAAGCATCCCATGTCCGAACTTTGGCAGGACCTCTTCCTTAGCCTTATTCGTCTCACTGGCAGTATCACCCATGTCGAACAGCCAAAGTCAAGCAGAGTAAACACCAGGAGAGGAGTATCATCAGATCACATCTTGCCACTATTTATGTGACGATGAATAGACCTCCATCTTGAGCATGTGGGGGTTATACGGCTGGCTTGCAATGAATGCAATGGTCGGCGAATTGCAAGTGCCGAACCGAAGCAGTCAACCTTAGAATGCATGCTGTGGAGACATTCTCGCCTCGAGGATAAGCGCCAGCAACAGAACGGGACACAGGAGGCAGGTTGTCATAGTCGACGGTTCGCCAAATCCAGGTGGGCAAGAAGGAGGAAGAGGCATCTTCGGCAGTTCGGCACCCCTGACTATATCGGACATAACAAGGGGCGGTGATAAGCAGATGTCACACACTAGGGTCCCCTAGCTCGTGAGAGTAGGGTTCTTACCCGGGTCGACTCGGGATCAAAACACTGACAGTAGAAAGACTATGGTAACTCCATGGAAACTTGTTACTTTCCTCATTTGTATTTAGATTCCGTGTCATTCTTGCCTAAGAGCTAGGGTCTTGCCAGCGCTCCGCATGGTGAACAACCCCACCTCCGGTGGGGTGTGTCAAGCCAGTATTCCCATGGTTATTTCTGGGCCTTAGAGACCATTGCACAGCACTATGGACCCTCACTATGCGGTGATCTGACCCAAGAGGTGTCCGAAATATTGGTCCAATGGGTGGTGTGCAAGAACTCACTAGGGAAAGAAGGGAGAGAAGGGGAAAGTTGGTAGAAACGTGGGAGTCAAGCCTGAAGCTGAGCTACCAAAAGTCAGTCTGTAATAATTTGGAGGTTGGTCTCCATCTAGTCAAACAGGAGTTTCTGGAAACTACTTATACTAGCTACTCTAGGCTATGCTCTATACTAATCTCATATCCAGATACCTCACCAAGGCAGGCATTGGCATGCCGAATATCCTTGTGGGTCGATCCTGTTGCAGAGGAGACCTGTAGTCATCATGCCAAATACCCAGGTGGTCCTGTTGCCTGTGGAAACCTAATAGTTGTCATGCCAAATATTGGTGGGAGTCAAGACTTGTTGCTGGGGTGCATTGTTCTGCGTAGTGAGGGTCTGTAGTGCTTTGCAATGGTCTCTAAGGCCTGAAAATAGCTGTGGGAATATTGGCCTGACACACCCCACTGGAGGTGGGGTTGTTCAGCAGGCAATGCACCCCAGCAACAAGTCTTGACCCCTCCCGGATATTTGGCATGACAACTACTAGGTTTCCCCAGGCAACAGGACCACCCAGATATTTGGCATGATGACTACAGGTCTCCTCTGCAACAGGATCAACCCACAAGGATATTTGGCATGCCAACACCTGCCTTGGTGAGGTATCTGGATATGAGATTAGTATAGAGCATAGCCTAGAGTAGCTAGTATAAGTAGTTTCCAGAAACTCCTGTATCTAGCTTATTCGGCCCCTTTTCCGTTAGAGTTATATGGATCTGATTATTGGTATACTGGCAGACTGGACTTGACTTGGCGGATTTGACTTGACTTATTGTGACTTGACTAGAAGGACACTGAGCTCCGATTATTGCATACTGACTTCTGATAGCTCAGCTACAGGCTGTTAGGGCAACACAGGCTGACTAAGTCTGCTCACCTAAGAGTGCCAAGAGTCTAAGCAGGCAACAAGGAAGTGGAGTAGACCTGATGACTAAGACCTATCTACAGTATAGGTACCTGTGGATGATCCTAAGAGACCAAGTCTGAA